CCCCCCCCTCCATCCCAGCAAAATCTTTCTTCTTGGCTCTGACATCGTTTATGACCCTATGACGTCAGTCAAAAATTTTTAAGTAAATTAGACTTCAATCAAATGCACGACTAAATTCTCTTTCCCGATATTTTTGATGATTTTTACCCTTGTCAGACAAACCTTGTTACACGGGAGAACAAAGTATACCGCATTACCTATTTATTGTAAAGAGGATCATCCAGGCACTGATTATAATCTTCAATTACGCAAAGATCGTTCATAAACTAAGATATACTGTATATACTATATACATATAGTATATGAAATTTATGTACCGTGTATAGAAGTACATACATGCGGAAGTATTTACTTTCGCACCCTTCACAAATTCCAAGGAAGCTTCGTTGAAATCGCTTCCCTTCCCTTTCCCCGAATATGAATTATCCCACGAAGCAAGGGGCGTACCTATAGACGGCAAATTTCGCAAAATCCTCAAGACCCTGACGGCTTTACGTTTGCCACTGCCGCCATGGCCAAATGCTACGAGTACTCAGCGGCACCACTTTCACGGAATTTCAATACCCCAGGCTTTCCTGCCGGGACACTTACGCTAGGATTTTATCCCACGTCCACGTTTCAGTCCCACTTCCCCCGCTTCTCGCTTCTCTGCGTCGTCTGTGTACCTTTGCACTGGTAAACCGCCACAGCCTCCGAAATCCCGCTTGTTAGTGCACTCTTACCGACACGTTTCCAGGATCAGAAGAAAGCTTCACCTACCCTTCTCAGACTTGCTTGCTTTCCACTTTACTCTCCACGACCCTTGGCAATTATCGACTGAAGTGCACGTCGCTTTTTATAGGACACGATGATATCTTACTTGTGAAATAATATTACTTTACTGCAAAAACTGCTACTCAAAGTCCGATTTCAATTTGACATATCACTTTGTTACACGATCCCAATGCTGTTACTTCATAATGCTATGTACAATGAAAGAGAAAATGTTTTCGCGGTAACCAGATTTTATATACCAAAGTATATAAAGGAACGTCTGCGTTATATGATTTGTCATCAATTTTATTTTTTCTGCAAAAATTTTTTTTTCAAAAATATCGTTAATGGCAATTACAAAAAGATGAATCCTACCTTCTGCAGCTGTTTCCCATGATACCAATATATCTGTAGATATTGCTCAAGATGACAGTGCGAAAACAGATCGGCTAAAATAAAGAAAAAATACCACTCTAAGCTCATCACAGACGTCGAAAGTTTCACACGAGTACGCATATAGATAAGTGTTACAGTTAATAGTTTATTAGAGGGTAAACTGCACGGTAGATCCAAACTCGATCTCTCAAGAGTTAACTACGGCAAAAGTGACGGCGGGAGCGAAATTGCGTAAAGGTCAACTACCTAACAATTAGCTAAATCAACAACTCGCTCCGATACTCGTTGCCAAGAGTTATGTCGTCCAGAGGGGTTTCTCCAGGACGTGAACGTTACTCAACAAGACTTTACAGAAATTACAGACCACCAGCTACTCGCCACTCGCCACTCGCCACCGTTGCCGCCAGGTTATGTTTCTGCGGTCCTTGTCGCACTCATGAAAACAACCTTAGAGGCAACGAGTAGGTACATTTGTACGTGCGAACCGAGGGCTGCACTGGAAACTTCAAGGGTTGTTAAAGCCGAAGGAGTTGAATCTGTTGGACCCTTTGGATGCTGCGCCTCGTAAAGGTCGCCTCCTATATATGGCACTGACAGATCAAACCTGTGCAGTGGTGCCAATCTCGTAAAAGTAAAATACTGCTACAACGGGAGCCTCGAAATTTTCAGCCTTGTTAAATTTATTTCCATGCTGGACGTTCGTCACTTGAATCGTCTCCCATCGTGGGAATTTTTATCTGAGAGCTTCTTGTCCGATCCCAAAATTTCACTGACGTCATTTGGAGCAATAGTGGTGATATTAAAGATCGTAATGATAAAAAAATTTATAAATTTCTATAATCCAATAATCAATGTTGTGATCTTGTTACAGAGAATAACAGTATCGCACGATCGGATTATGGCTGTTATGCAAGCATACTCGTTCTGGGATGCATGTATAAAATTTGGATGTAAAATTTTAACATGATTTGTCACACGATCGAGGTAGAGTCGTATTAAAAAAAAAGAAAACGAAAGTAATATAGAATATATCGTGGAAATACGTTTTTCGGTAGAATATTGAATATTTATAAATTCTATTTTTTTCTATTTTTTTTTTAATACGCTCCCTTTACTCGACATATGCATGCGTTAATTGTCCTGCAGGATGTTAAATAAAGTGATTGGTATGCATAGTAAACGTAACAAACGTACAATTGCAGATATAGAGGCTGAACCGGTGAAGCTGGGCAAAGGCTGAAATAATTAAAGGTTGAAAATTGCGAAACGAAGCTAAATTAAATCCTACATTAATCAAGTTTGTAATCGCCAGATTTTAATTTCGTCCGCCCTTCGGCGAGCCTCATTAAATGGTAATTATGAAAAACGAAACTTTTAAGTATCCCAAAAACTCTCGTGGACATCAGCACGAAATAGCATGTGACCATGCCCTAGACAAGTGAGCAGTTTAACAAAGACGTTTCACAGCACTGTGAACAATCTACACTAGTTAGATGAAAATTTAAAAATTTTCTTATCAATTCTCAAAATCTACCGAAAAATAATAAAACAGGTTATACATGAAAAACAAAAGGCCACCATACGAGGTTTAAACGCAACTTTTGAGAAATCCAAATTCACAAGACTGATATCCTTCCTCTGGGCAAACGAAGATATCCTTATAGAATTCCGACTAAATTCAACCAAGCTTTTCTTTTCTCGAGCGTGAACTCAATGATAAAATGTCTCAAGCGATCGAACTTCTCGTAAACTCGTATTCCCGGGGGTAGCTAACCAATTAAAAAGTAACGTTACAGTCAAAAGTTTTCAATCCGAGAGACGCTGTTCTTCGCAGGGTTGTCAAGTAGGTGTCAGCTAACTCGTGAGATAGCCATGAAAAGAACAATTTCTCTCGCATACACGAGGAAGGAGAGAACTGATCGTAGATATAGAGGTATGTGCGTAAGGGTGAAGGTAAAATTGAACTTAAGGAAAAAAAAATTAAATTTCGACAA